CTCAGGTTGGGACAGAGGAGAGCTCTGGAGGGGGCCTGGTGGTTAAGGAACTGCGCTGCTAACCCACAGTCAGGCAGATTGAGTCCGCTACCTGCTTCAAGGGAGAAAGGGCAATCTCTCACGCGGTTTCTACCCTCTGCAAATTCATTCTCAGGTTCACTGGTAAGTCCCTTCCGACTTGACAGTAAAACCTTGTTTTGCTGAGTGGGGATTGTGACTATGGCCATAAAGCCCAGTTCTTAGAACTGCCTAGTGAATGTGGTTTATTACCACTGATCAGGGTAGCCAGATAAAATGCAAACTTTCTATTGCATGGGTTTAATGCTAAAAAGTATCACTTGACAGCAAAAAGTTTTTCCCTCCTAAATCTGATACTCCTACATTCAAAGAGCCTTCAGAAAATACAGCAGTCTCGGGTCTCTAGCTGGACTGGCCTCCTGTCGTCCACCTAGGCTCACAGCCTCATACACGTGGGACCTTGGAGAAGCAGCCACTGCTTCCTGTGGTACTTTGAAAACTAGACCCACTTTGTATCTTTTTTGCTCTCTGATTTCCTTATCTGGCCAGTGGCACTGGAAACTCTCACTTCACGTCTCAAAAGGAGTAAACAATGATATACAAATAATAGCTACTGACTAACTTGCCACTGATCACTTCAATCAACCCCACCGATGACTTTTCGATTGAAATTCTAGCCATCTGCAATTTGCAGATGAGACAGGTGTAGCTCGGTCAGAGCTGCTGCTCCCTGTCCTCTGCTCCCAGGGAGGCTCTCTGTGGACTTGATCCTCCTTTCAAACCCTTCTGCCCACCCTGGCTTTGGGACTTAGGCTCAGATGCCGGGGCTGTCTTACGACCATACTCAGGTCTTCTCTTCTACACTGAGCAAAGCAGGTGCAGCCCTTTGTACCTTTCCTGGCTTTCCTCCAGCCCCTAGACGCCTGGTAGAGCTTGGACTACAGGGCTGGCCACAGTGCTGGCGGCCGGGCAGCACGCTGCGGATCAGGGACCTGGCCTTACACTGCTGGGCTGTGGAGACAGAAGTGCAGAAGACGACCGGGTCCTAGCCCTTGAACTTACATGAGGTTTCATACTAAGAAACTTGTCCATGCCCTGACAAGATAAATGAACAAAACCTTTCACACACATCCATCCTGGTGTAAACAAATTAAGCACAAAGTTTTCCAGCGTGTTAACCCTTCTCTGAGTGGCCTGTTTTCCTCAGTCTGATTCTTCCAAACACAATTTCTTCACTCAGGGCTGGTCTCTGGGAGCTGTGGGTTCTGACTAGCTGTCTTAACAAGCCGCAAACTGGGTGTCGTCTCTTCGCCATGAGGTGTGAGGGATGAGGGGGCTGGTGGCCCCTCTGCTGGCCTTCCTTACAGCAGACCTGATGCCAGCACCCCTCAACCTACTCCTATGATGCTGTGCAGACAAATGAGGTCACTTATGGCAAACACACTCCAAACGCTGGCCTAACACGTTGGACTAACTGTACCGCTCTGCCCCTGCACAAGGTCTGGTGCCAGGGTGAGCCTCCAGGTAAGAAAACGAAATGCCTAATCTGCATATATCTTTCCCCAGAACTTCACTCCCCATATCTCAATTACACTGTTGGCCTTTGAACCATTCCCCCTCCTACTGATCCTTAAGGGCGGAGGGAAAATGCCCTCCCCCAGGGTTTCCGGGTCTGTAATCTTTACAGAAGCAGACTGCCGTATCTTTCGCCCACAGAGTTGCTGTGGATGGATTTCGAGTGGCAGCCTCTTTGGCTCAAAGCTTGAGTGCTTTAACCACAGCATCACCAGAGCTCCTTAAATCTCCACAGAGCTCTCAAAAGCCTGCAACACTCTTTACGCCCTGAGGAGTTATGGCATGTGACTCTAAGGGCTTCCTGTGGTGGGAGGTCTCCCATCTGTCCACAAGCGTCCATCTATCCTCAGGCTGTTCACCCATCCTTGTGTTAGCACCGCGAAGATGCAGTTGCTGCGGGACCCACACGGGGTGAGGGTGGGCTGCTTTGGCGTTGTCAGAACAGTTTCCTAGCATCACTAACACTTTCTGGCTTCAGCCTTTCTGAGTCTTGGCAAGTTAAGTTTTTTCACCAGAGCTAACAGGATCACAAAATTGTTGACAAGTCTTAAATGTTGCTCTTGTGTTTTACAGACTTGCTTCAACACACAAGAGCGCCTAGGTCCACCTGCAGTTCTAGGGGCTGCTCTGAGGGGGGGGGATGTCTAGCATGTGACTTGGAAGTGGCACTGGCAAGGCCTTGGTGGGGAGCTCTGGGGGCACATCTAGGGAAGTGGGTGCTGTGTGGCCAATGCCCTCATGCATCTGTTTGAACCTGGTGTTCTGGCCACTGAGTCACTTCCATGAGGGACTGTTCACCAGATCCTCAGGGGTCCGGCGTACAGATGATGCAACAGCAAAATGTCCGACAGCAAGAGACAGCCAAGTGCCACCGAACTCCTCAAATACAAATTTGACTTTTAAACTTTTTTCTTTTTAAATCCAGGATCAAGACCACAGACAATTTATTATGTAAGACATAGGGTGAAGGATGGTCAAGAAAAGGAATGGCTGTGACTGACATGGGACTAGATGAAAAGGCTCGAGTCTGCTTGAAGAGAGTTTAAATTTGGCTTTTGCTCTCGGGAACGTCAAAATAATCATAAGAAGCACTTATGCCTTACAGAGCAAATAATCCACAGAGTGTCATTTTCATTTTGCAAACAGGGTCACAATAGCAGTCAGATATAAGCCTAAACACCCAGAGAGTTAACATACAGGTTTGATAAGATATAACAAGGGATTTCGCATGCTGGTGGGTTTTGAAGATCAAATCCATATTGAACCCTGTGACCTACGGAAGGTTATAAGTGAAACCTGGGGAAAGTAGCTTTTCCATACAAAACGACAATGACGACGCAACAGGAGAAACCCCAGCCTCTGCTGGATGTCTATCATACTCATTTGCAGTAAGGCTTTCAAGATAGATGAACTTTTATAGCATTTGTATTTTAAGGATTTAGGGCAAATACATTTTTTTTTTCTCTAGTTGATAAAAAGAAAATTAGTACTTAAAAGGTTCAAAAATATATTGATTGAGTGATTTTTCTTTACATAAATAAATTATATTGATTTTTTTTTAAGGATTTAACAGCTGAAAAAACCCTTTCCGCTTCCACTGGAGGCAAAACTGAACAAAATGTTAGTTAAATAGAGATAGCATTTCTAAGAAATCTGTTGTCAGCATTATAGATCATCTATGCTACAAGGATGTCATTAAGGAGAATTTGCTGAAACAATGGATTCTTTCTTGTATGAACACTTACAGAATTTCTAGTTTATGTCTCTGATTCATAACACTGGGACTCCACTTTCTGAAAATACAGCTCACTGAATTTTTTTTTTTCTTCCTTTTTTTCTGGTCACGATTTAACAGACTTCTTTGAGATGCTCATTTTAACATTTACATAATTTATAATCCCAAATGTATAAAAGACAATGACAAAAGCATCATAAATAAATAATGCAAACTGAAATAGTTATGTCAAACTTTTGGACCTTCTGATAAATTAGCAAAACTGTAACAGAAAGAGTAAAAAACACAGTAAATTTTGACAACAAAAAAAGGGAAACTGATACTAGTAACACTTCCAACCGCCCTGCACAGGCCCCGCAGCAGAACAGAGCCAGGAGCTGCATCTCATGTCTCTCTGAGTGTAAACCACCAATAAAGACCCAAAGGGATGTGCTTTGAATGGGAGGCAAAAGACAGTGGGAACAAGGGCTGCTTGCGCAGGTCCTCCTCTGCTCCTCTGTACATGTGGAGAATGCTGAGGAAGAACAGAGTAACAAGGATAATTTGCAACAGTCTCAACTAACTCCGTAAACCTGGAATTTGGGTCCAACTGTAAAACAGAGACAGAACAGACATGTAATGCACAGAAAACACTTCACAGTTGTAACAGAAAGGTGGTGCACACGTGTTTGGACAAGTTCAACACAAGGGCCTACCTAGTACGAGTAAAAGTGGTGACTGACTAGTTTCTTGCAGGTTCCAGAAAGAGCATTATTCTTGGTGAAGGAAAGCAGAAAATAAAAGGCCCATGAGGTCTCGGTGCTCTTTAAATAGAGAGGCAAATGTGACTGCAGCGATTCCGAGAACGTGGTGAGAGCAGGAGTTGTGGACTGCCTCATTCCCTGGCGCTGGCCTAACTCAAGGCATGTAAAGCTTTGAAGAGAATCATCTTTTAACTTGGGTGGGGGTTGGGGGCGGGGGGGAAGGTAGCGAGAGAGAGTAATACATACAAAATAATGCCTAGTCAGTATTTCTTCTTGCTGCAGGTGTTTGAAAACCCATGAAAGGGGAAATTATATTACTACCAGTAAGGTGTTTTTTAAATTTGTCTATAAATGAAGAAATGAATATATGCATTTTCAACCATTAGTTATATACTCTGTCTATACTACTCATTTAGTAATCATGATAAAATAGGGAATTATTTCAACTTAAAAATATGCACCAGCACTTCCCTTTTCTGTGCTTTTTGGTTCCCCCCATCCTGGCCTTCCCATTCAACACAGCCCACAGCGAGAAGAGCTATTCTTGGTCTCTGTTCTTCTGCCCTCCAATGGGAAATTCCCTAGACAGCTTGCTTTTGCCCTTTTTTCCCCTCAAATAAGTGGGAAACTTGGAAGAGAAGGGGGTGGGGCGTGTCACCAGATACTGCATTTAACTACGACTTCTGGAATGAACAATGAGTAACAGAACGTGATCCTGTGCCTCCTAGACTAGGTAGACGACACGTATCTAATCAAGTGGCAAGACCCTGCAACTATTAACATCTGTTACCATAGTTCAGACAGGAAATTAGGTAGGCAATATTACTTATGGAAACACAGGTTCTTATGAAGGTGAAGTGAGGGAAATAACAAACCTTTATGGGATAAGAAACTTACAAGTCACAACAAGTTTTCCAATGAAAAAAGTTCTAATTGGTGTCGTCATTGGAGTCTTTGGGTCCCCCGTCCCCAGCCTGTGCCATATGTTCTCTGTCTGGGGGCAAAGGTGCACTAGCTTCGGTGCAGTTCTGATGGCCGCCGGCCTCCTGTTCAGGCCCGGGAGCAGGCTCTGGGTTGGGGTGCGAGGTGTCCCCTTTAGTTTTCTTCTTCTTCCTCTTCTGGCTCTCCAGCCCTAGGATTTCAGAGTGTCTGGCCTGCTGCATGGCGGGCAGAGCCATGCCCATGCTGGGGGAGAGGAACATGGATGGGTAGATGAGTCCAGGCGACACTCCTGGGATGAGAAATGGGTTAAAAGCCACAGGACTACTAGTAGTTATTGCAGGTTCCGACTGGTCAGAAAACGGACTAGGGCCAGGCTTGTCTTCAGCTAACGTATCCGTGTTCACATCACGGCTACCGGGCTTGTCTTCTGCAGTCTTTTCGGTTGTCGACGTACCACTTTTTGTTGTGCTTGATAAAGATGTGGGAGCAGTTGAAGTGCAGGCAGTTGTCATGGGCGTACTGAGGAGTCCCCCAACACCGAACATCTGGGGCACTGTGGCCATTCCCGGGAGCATCATGGGAAGCATGCTCAAAGTGCTTTTGACCTCTTCGCCTGTAGGCATTGCAGCAAAGCCGGCCGGAAAGCCCACCAGCCCGGTCAGGGGGATGCCCGGCATGTTTCTCATGTTCTGGAGTCCCACCAGGTCCATCCCAGCAATCAGTCCGTTCATGAACAGGGGTCCCATGCCGGACGGCGAGTCTGCCACGATGGCGGGAGCTTTCAGCAGCTCGCTCCGGGGCCGTCTCCCCCTCCGGCGGGGACCTGTGTCTCGGAGAACTGGCTCAGGCAGGGTGTGGTTGAACTTGTTTTCTGGGAGAAACACCTGAAAAAACAAAAAAAAAAACAAACAAAAAACACACACCAGATGCCAAAGGTTACTGAGTGGTAGGCAGGTGGCTGGGGATGACCTGGGCTCTGTGCTGGCCTATCCCGCCATCAGCGACTGACGAGGACCGAGAGGCTGAGAGCATCCGGCAGCCCTGGCACAACCACTGCACCTTGTCGCTAAGCAGAGCTCCTTGCATGCTCACTGGGTGAGGGCAGCGTCTGCCTGGTGGGCCTTCCAGGTGCTGGGACTACAGCACACATCCAGGCTTAGTAGAGACTTTTCACTGGACCCCAAAATTCACTATCTGAGACACAGGAAGCATTTTTAATGGTAGCAACAAAGCAGAGTCTGTAAGACAGAGTCTGAGATCAGACAGACCTTACACCCTGATCGACAACATCCTGGCTGTGTGACTCAGGCCAAGTCTAGAATTCCTGTTAAAAAGGACAGTGCGACCCTCTGTCTACAGTCACAGCACGTGCAGGACTTAGCACACTACCTACGGTATGAGGAGACGTGCGCAGTAAAGGATTCTACTTCTAACTATGTGTGTGTGTCCCCTTCTCCCTGCTGCCCTCCGATTCTGATTCTGGGATGCAAGAGGACTCCCACATGTTTGAGTAAATCAAAGAATTCTTGAACAAAGTCAGAAAAATGTCATCAAAAATAAGCAGTGTTCTGGTTTCTTTTAAAGGAAGGAGCTCCAATTTCCTTAATTAGCCAAAGTTCTCCAGTTAAGTACTTCTGTTCCACATGGATTAAATTGTGATTATACCTGACTATATTCAAATACAGGTCATCTGTTTCATACATTTCAGTATTTAACCGTTACACAGCAGGATGGCTGTTGCCTTTAACACTATCAGTGAGCCACAGGCAGCATGGGGTGGAGGAGGTGGCAGGCGGTGGCCTGAGGACAGAGTGACGGATGAAGGCACATGCCCCCTGCTCTCCTGGAGCCAAGACTTTACTTTCTAGTGGTGCAGGGATCATGAAACCACTGCTGCTATGAAGCCTGAAACGCAGAGTATATTTTAAAATGGATGGAAATGACCCCTCACAAAGGGAGAAATTCATCCAGTCTTAGTGTCTGGACTCTCTACACCCTTAGCCCTACGTAACTTGGGCACCTTTTCCTCTACTCCTCATTTGTTCATCTGAAATCAGACTTCTGATTGTTAATCAAAGCAACACATGCCAACATTTATTTATAAAAAAGTCAAAGTACACACACACACACACACACACACACACGTACGTGCGCGCACAGTCTCAAGTCATTTTTAATAAACAGTTGTTTTAAGGGGAAGTTTGCACTAAAGGTCTCCTCCTCTCCAGACTGTGCGGAAGCTGATTTCCAGGCTTCTCCGTCTTAAGGTTACTAGTACAAGTGTGGCATCGTTTGAGGACTTTTTGATCACAGAAACGGCGAGGTTAAAGACGTCGAGAGGGCTTTGACGGATCGTTCAACACTGGATTTGTACTGAGTACTGGATGGCATGATGGCTAGAATGTGGTGGCTGCAGCACGCTGACAGAGTGGTCAAACAAGGCCACTGTGTCTGGAGCTGGGTGGCAGTCCAATAGCCCGACAGTGAGACTACTGTAACGCAACAAGGTGGAAAACCCCTCCGTTCTCTCTACCAGCGGAACCCACCACCTTCTCTGAAAGAGGAAGGAATGATGAGTGATGGAGGTAGGGATATGGCAGGAAGCTGCGGAGTTTCAGCCCACAGCCCCCTTGTCTTTGAGGCTTTTAAGAAAAGAGAAACCCAGGACATAGAAAGGCTGTGGTGAGCGGCCAGGCTTTAGAGCACTTAGATCTATTTATGATCTTCCCAAGGAATTCTTGAATTTCCCACTCATTTCACTGTCTCTCTTCTCCCATGACTATGAAAGAAGTTAAGATCCTTAGAGAACCTGAGCATCTCTTGCTCAGTAAGAGGCAGCGGTAGAGACAGAGTCCGGTAGAGACAGTGCTTTGGGGTTCTCAAGGAGCTAAGAGATGATATACAGTCAGTCCATGAGGGTAGCTGTTCACCCATACAGAGTGGGCTCCAGAGACGCAGCGGGGATACATGGATTCACCCAGGTGGTCAGGGCTGAAAGCAGCAAGGGGAACTGGTTTTTAGTGGTGGTGATAACAGAAGAGTGGGAGGAATGAAGGCATACAGCATTTAAAAAGCATCTACCAGGAATCAGGCACAACGAGTGACCTTCAGAATTGGACCAATAAACAGCAACATGGTAAATGGCGAAAAGACTGAAGCTCTCAAGGATTTAATTTTATTTGGATATGTAAGCAATGCTCATGAAAGCAGCAGTAGTTATACAGTACTAAAAAAAAAAGTAGTAATTCAAATGATGAAAGCAAAAAAGCAGAAAGTAGTATTAAATCACATGACAAACGGCACTGGACAAATCTGCTACAAACAACCTATGTGTTGTTAAACAGCAGAGATGCCACTTAGAGAACAAATGTGTACTGACCCAAGTCATGGTATTTTCAATGGTTTCACATCCATGTGAAAGCTGGACAATGCATCAGGAAGACTGAAGAACCAGTGAAGCCTTTGAATTACGGTGCTGATGAAGAATACTGGCTATGTGATGGGCTACGGAGGGAAAGAACAAATTTGTCTTTGAAGAAGAGAAACCTGAATGCTCCTCAGAAGCCAGCATCGTGTGATGTCATCTCACACACTCCGGTCATGTTATCAGGATGAACCAGTCCCTGGAGAAGGACATTATGCTTGGTAAAGTAGATGGTTAGCTAAATAAAGGAAGACCTAAGGAGATGACTGACAGAGGGGCTGCAACCATCGTGAGGACGGCCGGCGGCTGGGCAGTGTGTGGTTCTGATGTCCACAGGGCTGTCAGGAGCTGGAGCCAAGTCAGTGACGGTGAAGAGCACCACTGCCATGCTCTCATTTAATCACCATCTGGAGTAAGTACCACCAACACACTCACTGTGAAGAGAAGCAAGTCAGTCATTCAAGTTCTCAGATACACAGCTGGCTCAGAAAGAGGGTGGTCCTGGGCTTGGTTTCATCCAGAGTGAGAAGCTTCCGCTTTTCAGAGTATCAAGTCCAACAGCTACCGAATGATGACTCCCAATCCCAAGAAGCAACTCTTTGATTCATGGTATTTCTCATCCTTTTCCCTCCTGACACAAACAGGTGGCAGAGGTAGTCTGGCATCCCAGGGGAGCTCAGTGACTACCCGAATCAGGTGCGAGGGGGTGTTTAGTAGGATCACTGCTCAGAATCAGTGACTCGGGGTTTTCTTTCATCAGCTCTTGAACTGTGAGGGCTGCTGCAGGCAGCTAGTTGGACAAAGGATGACACTCTCCACACCCCTCTGGGCGCTCAGCTACCTGCAATAGTACACTTCTTCCAAGTGTGCACGTGCACAAGCCAACTCTTCCACCAATGGTACAACATGGTTCTACCAGCAAAATGATGTCATCTTATTGCATTCCTATTTAGGTTCAGAGACACATGAAAACACATGTATTTGAATGCTCCTGAGTCCCCAGAAATAATGTTATTTTTAAAATTCTAAATCAGACCTCCAATTTCCCAAATACACAAAGAAAACCAGTTAGTTGGGTAGAAAAGTTGTGTGATGCCCTATTTCATGTCTGTGAAGAAGAACCAGGCAAAACTTGAGAAATGTTCTTCCTGTTTACAAATTGTGACACTGAGTCCTAGAAAGTGAAAAGGCAGAGCAGGGCTGGAAGCAGGGCTCTGTCTCAGCATCCCACGCCCCTCTCTCTTTCTCACACATGACCAGACACCTGCAGTCTGCTGGGCTGCTCTGTCCAGGAGTGTGCTTGGAGAGTTATACTCCCTGGCTCTGGTTCTTATTTCTAAAGGGGAGACAGTAAGCTCCACTGGACTGGGGCCAGTGAAAGCATTATTTTTCACCAGTCTGTCCTGAGCTCATGAATGAAAATCACTTCATTCTGGGCTGGCCCTATCTATACCTCACAATCACTGGTTTGTGTTGGATACAGCACCTGAGCTCAGGCCTTGGGCAAGGGTAACCACAATTCTACCACAGGCTTTTCTGAGCCCTCTTTCCTCAGTCCACCTGGAACCAGGAGTAGGGAGAGGTGCCAGGGAAGTCTCTTCTATGCTCACAAGTGTTCCCTTTACATGCACACTCTCAAGGGAGAAGGCCATCTTCAATCTTCCATGATAACCCAGTGCTTGATACTCAAAGCCTCTACTTTATTCTTAGATACCTGTTGTTAAGTCAGACTTCCTTTTTAACATCCTTGACTTTGGGTGATCAGTGTGACAGCACACACCCACATCTCCCTTACTTGGTCCCCTGGCCACTGTCCACTAAGCGCAGGCCGCACTCCGAAGGTGCTTGGATGCCCTCAACTCCTCTGCCCTGCTCTGGGTGAGAACCATAGACATCAGGGAGATGGATCCTTCTGGAAATGGGAGCCTGCCAAAAGGACACAAACTGGCCTTCTTCTCCCCTTCAGATCTAGGGAGCAGCAGCAGGAGGGTCCCAGGGGTAAGAGAACAGTTCCCTATCCACAGCATAACAGAAGAGTGCTGGCAAAGGAAGTTTGCTTTAACTGCTTCCTGTGGGAGGGAGTCACTCTAGCAACCCAGCTGTTGCCCACCCTAGCTCGGTGCCCCTCCCAGCGGCTCTGGGACCACACACAGCGGCCAAGTTGGGCTTTGGCAGCTCTCCCTCCTGGTAATTATACCCTGGGAGCAAACCTGCTTCCTCTTCCAGGGGAGGCCTGGGGAGAGGGCAGAGAGAGCAAGGAAAGGAGAGGCAGACGTTTGAGCAATACTGGAGATCTGCTTTCCCGGAGGAGCACATGGGCACTGAGACCAAGAACATCTTCAGGACACAGAAGCCTGCACATTCCCAACTCTAAAACTTAACTTTTGGGATAAGTAAACGCGTCCCAAAAATATTCACTGAGTAAAGAGATCCAATAACCAAAAGTAACATGTGGATTCTAACTTTAAAATATCTTAAAACAAAACAAGACAAAAGCCAGTGCTAAAAGACATCTTGGAAATAACTGGGGAAAGCAGAATAGGAGTTATAGAGATAGTAAAAATTGTTAACGCCCATATATGTACCAGCTACCACCCATCTGCCAGTTTGTCGATGCTTGGGTGTTGCTGACAGAGCTTTGCCCCTGGCATTTGGAAGGGCATCCAGGTCTCTCAGGAGCAACATGTTTCAGGGGAGCTCTTAGCCCAAGACTGATGAGGAAGAATGGCCTCATGATAGAATTCTGAGAATGAGCCAACGAAAACCTAGGAATCACAACAACATTGACTCAGTGCTGGAAAGTGAGTCTGCCAGGTAGAAAGGCACTCACAATACAGTGACCACGAGAAGGGACTTGGGCTTCCCAACGAGTGAGGAGCTGATGCAGCGCCGGTTAATGCTTTGTTCAGTTATCCGTGGGGCTGCCAGGAGTAAGGGCAGTTAGGGGGCTGGCAAACCAAGTGTACTGTCTACACAAGAAAACACACTCCTCAAGTATCAGCTGTGATATGCCTCCATTTCACCGTCAAGTTGCTCAGCAAAAACAGACAAGAGGAGCTGTTGGCACATACGTTAAAAATAAAGAATATTTTTCTGGTGGCCTAGTGGCAAGAAGCTGCACTGCAATCCCAGGGGTGGGTGCACAGTTCAAATCCAGCAGATGCTCTGCTGGAGCGGGTGAGACAATCTCCTCCTGGACCAGTCAGATGTGATTTGACGGTGCACACACAAAAATAATAAACTAAACTTAAAAAAAAAGCATTTTATATAAATAACCTCTGTGAGCTGTGTGCTACGCTGTGTGTCTGCGGCACTCTCCTAACTGAGCCACAGCACATGTAGCAGGAGACGAGTGAGCTGAAGGAAGCAGCTCCACGAGGAATTTAAATGTGTTTGTAGAAGAAAGGTGAGAGTTCTGCAGGGAGAAAACAGGAGGTGGAAACGCACATTCCTGAGCGCCCCAGCCCAGGATGAGCCGTGTGGGCGCCCAGGTGAGGCCTGGGTCCGCTGGCACCGAGCACTGCACTGCACTGTCGGGCCGTGCAGAGGGCCAGGCTGGTCTGCAGACGAGGTGGGTCAGTGATTCCTGGCTGCCAGGGCAAAAGTCTTAGTGCAGGAAAAGGGCCTCTGAGGCAGGGACTGTGTTTATTTAACAAAGAAGGGAAAGAGCGTCTTTGGTAAGTGGCTCGCTCAAAAGAAAGGCTTAGAAATGGGCTTTCTGGCAGAGGGTCAGCGTGAGCAGGGGAGTGACGAACATTAATTTCCACAGAACATGAGGGAAACAGTTAGACATGTAGAAAGAAATAAGACTGCTGAGGGGAAACCATGTGATTATTTCTGACATGCCTAACAGCTCAGAGACAGTAATAAAGCAAGAGTTTCACTGACACACGGTCTGCAGAGACAAAGGTGGATGTGGGGAACAGGATGAAGAGGATGAGGGGACAGAGGAATGAGACGTGGAAGCCGAATCACCTTACACAGCACAAGGACTAAGAAAAACGTGCAAGCGTGTTTCTGAGAAGAATGGAAGAGGGGCCGTGTTCTAGGACCAGCCCAGCAGACACGGGAGTCCCCAGGCAGGCCGTGTGGTGGACAGAGAAAAGCAGGAATCCAGGTCACAAACCAAGAACAAGCTTCTGGAGAACATTACTTCTTTCCACTCAAGGAAGAGGAAATGAGTCGAGTGGGTGGTCTTTCAAAGCAAAAAAAGGAATCACATTCAGGCAATCTCACCGAGGAGGGGATTAAGGCTTGAAGAAAGGTGCACGACGGTGGCACGCTGGAAAGAAAGCACTCAGGAAAAGCTGATCGATTTATGTAACCACCGGAGACAGTGCTCTCCTTTCTGGGGAAAAACGCACTTTTAGGAGGCGAAAAGCTCATTTATGTATAAACCTCCCAAACACAGCACACTTTCAAGTTGCAGTGTGATTACCGCCCCCTAGAGGTTGTGAGTGATCTAGTCCAAGTTTGTACTCATCTGTAAACTATAATTAACTCAGATTTGTTACACTACAAGTATTTTGCAGATGTCTTTGAAGTCCTTTCCAGTCTTAGGATTCTATAATAGGAAAGGGCAGTGCTGGGAGTCAGCTGCTTCTCATTGCCAGGGAGGATGGACTGGGAGGAAACGTCTTCAATAGCAACCAGATAAACTGAGATTAGAAAATGCAATCTTCCAATAATGAAGCCTGTCAAACACTGGAAACTGACTCCCGTGAGGGGTAAGGTTTCTTTCCCCTTGGAACCCACTATAAGGGTGGGGCTGGGGAGTCTAGCTTTAGGAACAGTTTAAATTCAAACAGTTTTGGCGGTAAGGGTTGAAACGAATGGTGCAGGAAGTTGTCCAGCTGTTCACAACACCCAGCACTGTGTTGATCAGCCCCCTTCAGGCAGGCCCTTCATTTTTATGGCAAATGGGGCTCAGCTCCCCACTTCGCGGCTGAAGCTTCCCCTGACTCAGTAAGGTTAGCGCCGGCTTATTTGTGCTTACTTAACTCATCTGTACTGAACAGCTTCACATTTTTTTCCACCACATCAAAGACTGCTGCTTGGCTGTAGGCATCTGTCCTTTCCCCCATCTCAGCACCTCCCTACAGAATCAAAGCCGCTCTTCGAATTTACAATCCCTGATAGGGATGTGAGGTGAAAAGCACTTGAACCTTCTCTACAGACTGGTAAGCTAGCCCAAGCTTATCTGGTCCCCTGTGGACAAAGCCTGGTGCAGCCAGGCTATGGAGCCAGCCATGCAGGGCTCCTAGTTCCTGTCCCGGTTTCTCACCCTTGGTCCTGGCTCCGCGGGCATGGCAGGTACCCTCTCTTCTCCACTCAGAGAGTTCATGTCCAACTTTCCAGGCTCCTTACAACGTGGCCTCCTCTGCTTTGGTTTGTCTGAAAAAGTCTAGAAGGCAAATGGAAACCAGTATTACAAAGTAGTTATAGGTTCTGATATGTGTGTGTGGTGATTTTCAGCCGGTCTTGCTCCTGTCTCAAGAAAGGCCCCTTCACAGAGAAGCTGGTCTGCAAGGCTGGAGGAAACAGCCACCTGGGCCTTCCCTAAGCTCTCTCCTTGAAGCAAGCTGGAATATGGGACGAGGGGGCTCAGATCACTGTGCTGGCCTCCTCAAGAGAAGACTGCCTGAGCTGGCCCACCAGTCTCCCAGCGAGCTGCTCAACCTCTCAATCATTTCCTCGGATTCTCTATTGCTGCCTTGCTGGCTGGCTTGCTCGGTCTGGAAGGTGTGCAGCCCTGCCTTGTGAGCTCTCCACCCACACATCTTATTAGATGGATCCAAGGCAAAGATAATGGTGGAGTGGGCAAGCAGCTGAGAAAAAAAACCAAGACAAGACCCCAATGTGTCTTCAAGGTCTCAGGAGGATGCTATGAAAGAAAAATCCCAAAGTTGTAACTCTACCAAGAATAAGACCCTCTTCCAATTAATTTGAAGAGAATTTATGAGAAAAATTTACTGATGTGGCAGAACTTAGGCCATCAGAAGATTTCTCTGTGAGCTTATAGTGTTGGCTGGTTATATGTGGAAGGAGGCAGGCAAGTTCTGTTCCTGTAAGATTTGCCACAGTATTTTGACATGGGCAGTAACCTCTGTTACTGGAGAGTTTTAATTACAACGTTAAGATCTTTATCTTCTCCTGTGCAATTACTGCCTCTGAAAACCCAGCGGAGAGTCAGCTATGGGTCGGTTCTGACTCGACGCATAAAACAACAAATTTAAAAGGATGTTCTTAGTCAACACAGATTTATTCCGTTTCCAACCTGCCGGTCTCTCTCAGGTGCTCATCAAAACGGCCCCAAGTTAGCCGGAGGTGAACAGCCTCTCAGGGAGCACACACTTACTGTCCCAAAGCCAGGAACCTCTAAGGAACAGTCGGACTGCTGCCTCAGCCAGTCGAGCAGACTCTTGCCGGGAATGGCTTTGTCTTGGCTGCCGGAGGCTGTGGCTGTTTCGGGGGCTGAGGTAGCAGGCACTGGTGCTTCGGGGTGAGTGGTGCTCAGGGTGGCCTGCACTGGGTCTTCGTGTACTTCCTGCATAGAGGAGAAATGAAGATGCTGTGTGAGTCTCGACAGAATGAAAGCTAGTCGATAAAAGAAATCTCACTGGGTCAGGTGTCCTTCCGATCTCCCTGTCTAACTCCACCCACCACGGCTCTGCCGTAATGACTGTGTATGTCCTGCCCACATAACTGACTACGTGCAGGACACTTCATGCACCAGGACTGCTCCTCTCCCCTGTGTCTACCTCAGTAACATTTATTTCATCCGAGCTGCCCATATTCGGTGTTTATGCTGTTGTTACAATCACAGCCCGTCCCAGGATCTCCTAAGGAAAGAGACATTTTCTTTCTCGTAATGGAAAATGAAGGCCTGTCTTATTCATCTTGAAATTTCCAATGTCTGCAATGAAGCCTGCTGATAAAGTACTACTACACTAGTAAGAAATTAATGTTTCCATAATGAAGAAATACTTTCTGTCCTAAAGCCGTGGGGGCTGGAAGAAACCCTGAAACCCCTGCCCAGATGATCTTGAAATCTTAACCAAAATTATCCCCTGAAATCTTCCAAAACCAAACAATAGGTCAGCTTACTAGTGAAAAGTATCTGCCTTAAGCATTATGCTCCTTTAAGAATTATGGGAAAGATCCAAATAGGCAACGAGGAGGTAAAATTATCCCTCTATGCTGATGACATGATAGTATACTTAGAAAACCCTAAAGACTCAGCAAGAAAACTA